CAGAGGGTTGCGCGCGCATGGGACAAATCGCACTCTCGCCTGCATTTGGTGCACTCGACACGCACGATCTCCGCAGAGGGTTGCGCGTCAAGTCTCCAAAACGAGCGTTTCGTACGAGACTTCCTCAAAAACTCACACGTCAAAGTCTGCAAAACGAGCGTTTCGTACGAGACTTCCTCCAAAAGTCAAGCGGAAACACCCATCGGAGCACACACATCACGCAGCAGCCCTGCCAAGCAGTTTCGCGATTCCAGCCCCTCCAAACAACATCCGCTCACATGCCAATCCCAATGGGACAGCGACATTCACCTCTACCACAACTCACAACCTCACGATTCCCTGCGCCTGCCACGAATCTTTCCCCATCCACACGTCTAACGCGCACAAAGTACTGCGCCTGCCACGAAATGTCACCTCCCTCACACCTCGCAACCTCACGATTCCCTGCGCCTGCCACGAGAATTGCACTTCCACGCTTCAAAGCCCGCACGAAGTCCTGCGCCTGCCACGAAAAGTGACAATATCATCGCATGTGAGCTTCAACAAAATTTGCATCACACCACACGTTTGGAATGATTTCGACCCGTTCAGAGCACACTCCCATCCATCAAAATCGCCATTTCAGCTGAGACTTGTCACGAAAACAGAGCTTCGATGCCACACCCTGAAACGCAAATCCCAATGGCACGGCCACATCCAACACCCCAAAAACACGACTCTCCAAACGCTAATCCCAATGGAACTGCGCCGTAATCTGCGGATCTCACAAAACGCTGCGCCTGTGCAGCGAAGTGCATCACGTTTCTTGCGCGACATGTCCGTGTCACGCAAATCACAATGGAATAGCGGCGCAAACTGACACGTGACACATCCAGGCAAAGTCACTTGCAAAAGCTTCCCCCAATGGCAGCAAATTTGAGACGCGACGACGACGAGAGACGACGACACGACGCAAGCCACGCGAACACAGCTCCAACCCCCAGACCCCCAACTATAAACGGGAACCCTTCGCTACGCATTCGGGAATAACTGTAGACAGAAGAATCCCTGCCTACTGTCCGTCCGAGACTAT